GGCTACCACCGCTGACTGCTCTGACCAGGATCACAATAGAGGGTCCTGGACAGAGCTGGAAAAAGATGTAGAACAAAATTCTAACTCACAAAAAAAAGACCAGATTTACTGGCCTGACAGACTGGAGAAACCCCGAGAGTGTGGCCCCCGGACACCCTTTCAGCTCAGTGGTGAAGTCACTCCCGAAGTTCACTGTTCAGCCGGGGGTTGGACAGCCTCATAAAACAAAACGGGACTAATGAGGCACAGCAGTCCAGGGACAAGGACCAGAAGGCAGGAGGGGACAGGAAAGCTGGTGACAGGGAACCCAAAGTTGAGAAGGGACAGTGTTGACATGTTGTGGGGTTGTTAAGCATCGTCATAAAACAATATGTGTACTAACTGTTGAATGAGAAACTATTTATTCTGCAAACCTTCATCTAAGATACCAAAAAAAAAAAAATTACGTGAGATCAAATCAACAACAGCAACTCAGAAGGTTTGATGGGAAGCCTAGGGGGCAGGGAGTTGAAGAGAATGGTGATAGAATAATTTGGAAAAGGATAGTGAGAATATCAGCAAACTGGAAGAATGTAATCGATGTCACTGAATTGTACACGTAGAAACTTTTGAAATGGTGTAACTTTGGCTATATATATTTTCACCAAAAAAAGGTCCTCCAAGGTCGATAAGGGAAGAGTGTTGACCTGTCGTGTGGTTGTTAACCAATGTCATAAAAGAATACGTGTACTGACTGTTTAATGAGAAACTATTTGTTCTGTAAACCTTTATCTAAAGTACAATAAAAAGAAAATTAAAAAAACCTCAGAAAATAGCAAAAGCTTTTTTCAAATTTAAAGAATGGGTTGTTTGGTTAATTCCAAGTTATAAATAGATATTATGGCAGCATTGTTTGTTTGTTGCATAACTGTGTGTGTAGTGTGAGTAGCTTGCAAGTAATATACTGTCTGCAATTTGTAAAACGTTGTATCCATAGAATGATGGTTTTACTTTAGAATCTCATTTACTGTACTTCTGATAAAATTATTTATTTTCCTTGCCAGAGTTTTAAAACGTCTTTCATCATACTGGCTGACCTACATTTGCTGTTGTTAGTTGCCATCGAGTTGGTTCGGACTCATGGCAACCTCACGAGTAACAGAACTGTTCTCATTTACTTTCCTCAGTGCTTTGGCTGGTTTGTCCACTGTCCCCATGGCATTCTTTGGAGAGTGACCCGGGACACGGGTCCTTCAGTGCTCACTAAGTGTACCACAGTCAGCTGGGTTGGTCTGACTGGTGGGTGTGAGGAGCCGCTGCCTGGGCACCTTGTCGTCTCCCTGTCGGGGTGCATGATGAACCTGTGCTCACACGCTTGCCTGAATTACGTTTTATGTCGCGCAAACCCGCTAAAGCACCAGCCACAGAGAGTGCCGTGTAGATTCTTACCAAAGCAGTAATGCATCTATTCTGCTTCTTTTTAAAACTCTCTCCCCTGTCAGTCAGCCCATTAAAGCCGATGTCCTTTTTATTCATGGCCTTATGGGAGCAGCCTTCAGAACATGGCGCCAGCAGGACCTTGATGAGGTTCTGATGGAAAAGGCTTCTGAGGATGAAGACAGGTATACCACCTGTTGGCCAAAGGTAAGGGAGCCCCTAGCCCTGGTCGCCACCCCACCCGCCACACACTTCCAGGCCACTGGCCTATTGTTCTCTTTCTACAAAGATTTTTTCCATGCAGTTTTCTTTCCCTTAGGGACACAGGTAGCATGTTACATTAACAGCTGGGCTTGCCACCCTGTGCTGTGGGATTTCTGGTTAGGATACAGTCTGTGACTGTAAAAGAGAGTATTCCGTGAAATAAAACGTTGAGTGAAACACAGGTAAGGGCCAGTAGTAGTTAACTTCCATTAAAAACATAACTATAAAAAGTAGTACAGTAGGAACATAGAGGTCCCTGGGTAGCGCACACGGTTTGTGCTTGACTACTAACCTAAAGGTTGGCGGTTCAGACTTACCTTATGGCACCACAGAAGAAAGGCCTGAAGTTCTAGATTACAGCTATTGAAAACCCTATATAACAGTTCTACTCTGCAACACATGGGGTCGCCATGTTGTTGTTTTTAGGGGTCGTCGAGTCAGGTCCGACTCGTAGCAACCCTAGCTGTACAACAGAACGAAACACTGCCCGGTCCTGCACCATCCTCACAATCGTTGTTATGCTTGAGCCCATTTTTGCAGCCACTGTGTCACTCCATCTCGTTGAGGGTCTTCCTCTCTTTCGCTGACCCTCTACCAAGCATGATGTCCTTTTCCAGGGACTAATCCCTCCTGATAACATGTCCAAAGTATGTGAGACATAGTTTTGCCATCTTCGCTTCTGAGGAGCATTCTGGTTGTACTTCTTCCAAGACAGATTTGTTCATTCTTCTGGCAGTCCATGGTGTATTCAATATTCTTCACCAACACCACAATTCAAAGGTGTCAGTTCTTGTCCGGTCTTCCTTATTCATTGTCCAGCATTTGCATGCATATGAGGCGATTGAAAACACCACGGCTTGGGTCAGGTGCACCTTAGTCTTCAAGGTGACATCTTTCCTTTTCAAACACGTTAAAGAGGTCTTTTGCAGCAGATTTTTGGCAGTGCAATGCATCTTTTGATTTCTTGACTGCTGCTTCTGTGGGTGTTGATTGTGGATCCAAGTAAAAGGAAATCCTTGACAACTTCAGTCTTTTCTCCCTTTATCATGATGTTGCTTATTGGTCCAGTTGTGAGGATTTTTGTTTTCTTTATGTTGAGATGTAATCCATACTGAAGGCTGTGGTCTTTGATCTTCATCAGTAACTGCTTCAAGTCCTCTTCAATTTGAGCAAGCAAGATTGTGTCATGTATAATGGAGGTTGTTAATGAGTCTTCCTCCAGTCCTAATGCCGTTTTTCTTCATGGAGTCCAGCTGCTCATTATTTACTCAGCATACAGATTGAATAGGTATAGTGAAAGGATACAACCCTGATGCACACCATTCTTGACTTTAAATCATGCAGTATCCCCTTGTTCTGTTTGAATGACTGCCTCTTGGTCTATGTATGGGTTCCTCATGAACACAATTAAATGCTCTGGAATTCCCATTCTCTGCAATGTTATCCATAATTTGTTATGATCCACACAGTCGAATGCTTTTGCATAGTCAACAAAACACAGATAAACATCTTCCTGGTATTCTCTACTTTCAGCCGGGATATATCTGACATCAGCAATGATATCTCTGGTTCCACATCCTTTCCTGAATCCAGCTTGAATTTCTGGCAGTTCCCTGTTGATACACTGCTGCAACTGTTTCTGAATTATCTTCAGCAAAATTTTACTTGTGTATGATAGTAATGACATTGTTCGATAATTTCTCCATTTGGTTCGATCACTTTTCTTGGGACTTGCCGTAAATATGGATCTCTTCCAATCGGTTGGCCAGGTAGCTGTCTTCCAAATTTCTTGGCATAGATGAGTGAGCACTTCCAGCACTGCATCTGTTTGTTGAAACATCTCGATTAGTATTCCGTCAATTCCTGGAGCCTTGTTTTTCGCCAATGCCTTCAGTGCAGCTTGGACTTCTTCCTTCAGTACCATTGGTTCCTGATCATAGGCCACCTCCTGAAATGGTTGAAAGCTGACCAGTTCTTTTTGGTATAGTGGCTCTGTGTATTCCTTCCATCTTCTTTGATGCTTCCTGTGTCTTTTAATCTTTTCCCTGTAGAATACTTCACTATTGCAACTCGAGGCCTGAATTTTTTCTTCAGTTCTTTTAGCTTGAGAAATGCCAAGTGAGTTCTTCCCTTTTGGTTTTCTATCTCCATCCATTTAGATATGTCATTATAATACTTTGTCTTCTCAAGCCACCCTTTGAAATATTCTGTTCAGTTCTTTTAGTTCATCATTTCTTCCTTTTGCTTTAGCTACTCGGCATTCAAGAACAAGTTTCAGAGTCTCTTCTGACATCCATTTTGGCTTTTTCTTTCTTTCCTGTCTTTTTAATGACCTCTTGCTTTCTTCATGTATGATGTCCTTGATGTCATTCCACAACTCGTCAGGTCTTTGGTCATTAGTGTTCAATGCATCAAATCTATTCTTGAGATGGTCTCTAAATTCAGGTGGGATATACTCAAGGTCGTGCTTTGGCTCTCATTAACTTGTTTTAATTTTCTTCAGTTTCAACTTGAACTTGCATATGAGCAATTGATGGTTTGTTCCACAGTCGGCCCCTGGCTTTGTTCTGACTTATGATATTGAGCTTATCCCTTTCCACAGATGTAGTTGATTTGATTCCTGTGGATTCCGCCTGGTGAGGTCCATGTGTATAGTCGCCGTTTGTGTTGTTGGAAAAAGGCATTTGGAATGAAGAAGTCCTTGGTCTTTCAAAATTCTATCACGTAATCTCCGGCATCGTTTCTCTCACCAAGGCCATATTTTCCAACTACCGATCCTTCTTTGTTTCCAGCTTTTGTATTCCAATCACCAGTAGTTATCAGTGCATCCTGATTGCATGTTCGATCAATTTCAGACTGAAGAAGTTGGTAAAAATCTTCTGTTTCTTCATCTTTGGCCTTAGTGGTTGGTGCGTAAATTTGAATAATAGTCCTAGTAACTGGTCTTCCTTGTAGGTGTATGGATATTATCCTATCACTGACAGCGTTGTACTTCAGGATAGATCTCAAAATACTCTTTTTGATAGTGAATGCAATGCCATTCCTCTTCAAGCTGTCATTCCCGGCATAGTAGACCATATGCTTGTCCAATTCAAAATGGCCGGTACCAGTCATTTTCAGCTCACTAATGCCTAGGATATCGATGTTTATGCATTCCATTTCATTTTTGACGATTTCCAGTTTTCTTAGATTCATACTTCATATATTCCACGTTCCTATTATTAATGAATGTTTGCAGCTGTTTCTTCTCATGTTTCTTCACATCAGCTAATGAAGATCCTGAAAGCTTGACTCCATCCATGTCATTAAGATTGACTTTACTTTGAGCAGGCAGCTCTTCCCCGGTCTTTTGAGTGCCTTCCAGCCTGGGGGCTCATCTTCCAGCACTATTATCAGACAGTGTCCCACTGCTATTCATAAGATTTTCATTGGCTGGTTCTTTTCAGAAGTAGAGCGCCGGGTCTGTCTTAGTCTGGAAGCTCAGCTGAAGCCTGTCCACCATGGGTGACCCTGCTGGTATTTGAAATAAGGGTGGCATAGCTTCCAGCATCACAGCAGCCTGCAAGCGCCCACAGTACCAGAAACTGACAGACACGTAGGGGGCGGGGGTCACCATAAGTTGGTATCAACTCTACAGCAACAGGGTATAGTAGGAACATAATTCATATTCCTAATAGTTAGCTAGTTCTGTGACTTTAGTAGTTACAAAACTAGAAAGACTTTGAAGAGATAATTCTGTTTACTTTGGATTTCTTTCACATTATTTCTTCCAAAGAATATTCAAGTAAATCCATCTGGAGTGAATTCATTGAGATGATTCGACTTACTTTGGATTTACCTTGAACAGATAATTCTGTTTACTTTGGATTTCTTTGACATTATCTGTTCCAAAGAAATCTATCTGGAGTGAATTTGTCAAATGGAATTTATCTAAAGCTCATTTAGAATTGATGCTGCGTGTATGTATGAATAAGGAGCCCTGGTGGCACAGTGGTTAAGCACTTGGCTACTAACCGAAAGGTTGGCATTTTGAACCCACCAGCAGTTCTGCAGGAGAAAGATGTGGCAGTCTGTTTCTGTAAAGATTTATGGCCTTGGAAACTCTATGGGGCAGTTCTGTTCTGTCTGGTAGGGTCACTAAGAGTTGGAATCGACTCAACAGCAATGGGTTTGGTTTGTTCTTTTTATATATGTAAATAGTGTCCAGGACTTTGAGCCACTATTTCTGACCTATCACAAAGTCTTCATCAAGTAGGAAGAATTGTTTACACTTCCCCTCTGGTGACACTGAAGAGCAGAGATGATGGTCCACAGTGGCAGAACGTCACTGTTAGGCTCTCTGAATTCTGAGGCCCAAACTCTAAACACTAGACAATACTGTGTGTTATGAGATAATAGCTTTCTATTAAATGCTTTTAAAAAGCCAGTTTGATCTAGACTGCAAAACAGGCCTTGCTCTTTTGGCCATAGCAGATTAAAATAGAGAATATTCTCTTGAAATCTGTATGGGCTTTACAAGTATTGATACAACTTTGCGACCAGAGACTTAAAAAGAGAAAAGGTGGGAATTGTTTTTGTAGTCATGTTCAGACTTTACTCTGATGCTGTCTTTCATTAGTTGTCAGTATTGCAGGAGGCCTCTAGTTATGCATTTCAGTTACTAGGAAGTAACTGGGCAGTGGAAACTCATGTGTTTCCTTTTGTACCTTTTATTTTACTTAGACGTGGTTAGCAAGAGACTGTCCTGCTCTCCGCATTATATCTGTGGAATACGACACCAGCCTCAGTGACTGGCGAGCAAGATGCCCCATGGAAAGGTAACAGGGAGACACTGTCAGACTGGGAGGGGGGAGGGATGTGTGAGGAGGGAGAGATGGGGGGAGGGACGTAGGGGGGACGGGGAGGGGATGTGGGGAGGAGGGACATGGGGGGGATGTGGAGGGGAGGGACGTGTGAAGGGGGAGGGACATGAACACAGTGGATCCTCTGCCTGGGAGGGGATTTTGTTTTGAACATTTTATTGCATTTTAGTGAAAGTTTATGGAGCAGTTAGTTTCCCATTCCATAATTAAAGTTCAGATTGTTCCGTGGGATTAGTTGCAGTCCCTGCAATGCGTCAGCACTCTCCACATTACCACCCTGAGTTCCCCTGTTTCCATTCGTCCAGTTTTCCTGCCCCTTCCTGCCCTCTCATCTTTGCTTTTGGGCGGATGTTACCCTTTTGGTCTCATATAGATAATTGTTCTAAGGAGCATTTTCCTCATGGGTGTTGTTTATTTCATAGGCCTGTCTATTATTTGGGTGAAAGGTAATCTCCGAGAGTGGCTTCATTTCCAATTTAGAAGAATGTCTAAGGGCTGTAGTCTCAGGGGTTCCTCCAGTTTCTGTCGGACCAGTAAGTCTGGTCTTTTGTATGAATCTGAGTTTTGTTCTACATTTTTTTCCCACTCTAACTGGGATCTTCGGTTGTGATCCTGGTCAGAGCATTCGGTAGAGGTAGTGGGGCACCATCTAGTTCTTCTAGCCTCACGCTAGTGGCGGCTGTGGTTCCTGTGGTCCATTAATCCTTTGGACTAATCACTTCCTTGAGTCTTTGGTTTTCTTAACTCTCCTTTGCTCCGGAAGGAAAGGGACCAGTAGAGACCAACAGTTGTATCGCGAGCTTTTAAGATCCCAGACGGTACTCATCTTCAAGCCCAGTAATTCAGTCCCATAATAGGAGGGGATTTTTATCTTTTGATGCCACAGACAGGATTTTCTTAAGAAAAATTAACCTACCTTTTTTCTCGTCATTCTAGGAGGAGTTAGCTATAAAGAAACAGTAAAATAGTACAAGGCTTAGGTATTTGTCAGTGTTGGACTTCTAACCTGGTTCATTTCTAACGATCCTAACAGTAAGGACCATGGATGATACAGCATGAAAGTGATGCTTTCTGCTTTTGTATTCACAGTCATACCAGCTAGAGAAAGCAGAGGAAAAGATGCTAAGCAGTATAGGCTCCGTACGTCACTCGTATGTCATATCAGCTCTGAGTGTCACTTGTATGTCATATGTGCCGGTTGTGTACATAGAGAAGGACACTGGGTTTCTGAGTTACACGGCCTAGACTGCTGCCCGATTCTACCTTTGACAAGCCACTGACTTCTCTCAGTTTGTCCACAAATTGAGGGTTGGTCTAAATCAGTGTTATCCACGTGTGCTCTCTGGAATGGACACCACGCAGGTGCCCGAGGAGGGGTGCCAACTGAGGGCCAGTAGGCAGGTGACCCCAGGCCTCTACCCCATTCCACCCAGAGTGCCTCTGAAGAGCCTGTATTCTGAAGGAAGGGGTCTGCTGATGAGAAGTTTGAAGCTACCAGCCTAGAGAGCTTTAAAGTTCCTTTTCAGTTTGAGTTCTCTGATTCTGATAGCTTTCTAGTATTTCTAAATCATAAAGTCAAATGATGAAGGCTTGATACTTGCAGTGTAAATACAGGTAGAACTAAGCAGCAGTGACCACTGACTTCGTGGACATGAACCCACAAGAAAGCAGGGTGGTCTTCAGCCATTCTGTCACCGTCAGGCCAGGGAATGAGACGGGACCCCCGTGGTCCTCAGTGGTCAGGCAGGCGGCAGGAGCCCCAGGTTCGCCCGGTAAAAATCGCCAGACACACTCTATATGCTCAGACAACGCTTGTTAGTAAACGAATGACTTGTCCTGGGCTTCGGTATTCCTAGTTATGCCAGTGTTAGCAACTTCAGAAATGGAGCAGAGAGAAATAGGGGTTGTTCCCAGCCCTAAAACGTAGTATGCAGCCTTAGTCCGATACAAAGTGAAAAGATCTTGCTTTAAAGAATGGGAGAGCAGGATCTGAGGGATTTACAGCCTCCTGTCATGCCTGCTGTTTTCATTTGGTACAGAAAGTCCATTGCATTCAGAAGCAGCGAACTCCTCAGGAAGCTCCGAGCGGCTGGTGTCGGGGACAGGCCCATGATCTGGGTGTCGCACAGCATGGGGGGTAAGTGGGGCTTCACTTCTGCAAGGGAGGCATTTCAAGGCTATCACCAGCGTCGTGGCCAGCCCATATTTCCCAAATTAATGTTTTCAGCCATGGCTAGGGGTTTTAGAATTACTGTTCTCCTTCCACGCTGTTTTTCTAGAAGGGTACAACAGTAACAAACCTTCTAAAGGGAGAGGCGTTCGACCACTTAATGCTTTCATGTAGTGGTAATGAATAAAAATCAGAAGCAGCCCCCGGCTTCTGTGAGCCCTGCTTCCAGACACACTCAGCCTTCCCGGCTGGTGGTGGGGCTCCCCTTTCCTCCTCCCTGCCCCTGTCTATCACAGAGTCCATGCTGCTTCAGTGCCCACAGCCCCAGCTGTGCGTGTCTGCCGTCTGCTCCCCGAGACGTCACACTTGCTCTGAAGCCACATCTGCTCCTTCGCGCCCATTCTCTCCAGTCCAGTTCTAAGTTCACCATCCACCTTGAAAGGGGGCTCTTTCTGCAGCCCTGGCCTCGTGTATCTCTGCAGTGCTCAGGCCGGCAGACTCGAAGGGCGTTGTGCTGAGAGGAAGGGGGATGCAGCCCTTGGTGTCCTCAGAGTGCCACTGTCACCACCTGTGACCTTCGTGCCTCCTTGTTGGCTCTCAGCTGGTTGGGTGGAAGAACAGGTGCCTTCCCCAGGATGTTTCCGCACAGGAGCTTGCTTTCCGTGGCAGACAGGCTGCATGAGCCTCTGTGCTGGGATCTCAGCACTGTCCTCAGTGTGCGGTCGTTGGTGGACTGCGGGGGCAGGGTGGGGAGACCAGCTGCCCCATCCCCCTTCATTTCTGGAGCCCTGACAGAGCAGTGCCAGCCTTCCTCCAGGATGGTGTACCCTGAGGTGGACAGCGGTCTGCTAGATCTCACCCCCTGCCTGTGTTGTTGTTAGGTGCTGTTGAGTTGGTTTCAGCTTACAGCAACCCTACGTACAACAGAATGAAACAGTGCCGGGTCCTGCGCCGTCCTCACAGTCTGGCTATGTTTGCGTCCGTTGTTGTAGCCACTGTTGTCAGTCCATCTCCTTGAGGGTCTTCCTCTTTTTCGCTGATCCTCTACCACGCATGATATCCTTCTCCAAGGACTGGTCCTTCCAAAGTATGTGAGATGGAGTTTTGCTATCCTCACTTCTGAGGAGCATTCTGGCTGTATTTCTTGCAAGACGGTGTATTTGTTCTGCCTGTGTGTCGGGTGGACTGTATATCCTAGAAGACCAAGGGTATAACCAAGTGCTAATATCTTCAGGCCCTGTTCATGATACTACAGTGAATTCTTGTTTCAACGTCTTTTAAAGAAAGCATGTTTGTGTTTCTCGTTTTGCTTTTTTGTTGTTGTTTTTAGAATAGTAGAGGGAAGAAAAATAACTTACGCATTGTTTTTCTTTCTGTGCTGCTAGGTCTTCTTGTCAAAAAGATGCTGGTGGAAGCCTCTAAGAAGCCAGAAATGAGTACTCTTATCAACAACACCAGAGGGATGATTTTCTACAGTGTCCCCCATCACGGATCCCATCTGGCTGAATACTCTGTTAATTACCGCTATCTTCTCTTTCCCTCCTTGGAAGTCAAAGAGCTCAGCAAGGGTAATGCTTGCCTTGTATCATCAAGGACACTGGGATTTAAAATTAGAAAAATGATGTACTGTTTTGCTTTAAGTATTATTCCAAATAACCAATGAAGTGCATTTTTTCATAAGTTTGGGAAATCATCAGCTGTAAAAATATGAACAAGCTTTTGAGATTTCCAGTGTATTATAAAGCACTATGTTTGTTTTGATTAAGCGTTTTCCTCTTTCTGGAACTCCTGTTAATCAGAATTTAGACCTCTTGGCTTGAGCCTTAGTATGTAGTTGTCTTTTTGCTTGTATTTTCTCTTTGTTCTGCACTGTAGAGAGTTGCTTGACTTCATCTTCTAAACCTGGGGAGTTTTATTTATCTTTTTGCAGTCAAATTTTATTTCTCAAGAGCTGTTTCTTTACTCGTATCAGCTTCTTGTTGTTGGCAGATGTATTCTCTCTTTAAATCACTCCAAAGATGCTAATTAGAGGGTTTTTAAAGGTTCCTTCTGTTTCTTCATTTAGTTGTTTCCTCTGTGGCCAGGTTTCTGTTTACTTTACCTGTCCCTTTCAGGCTGTAGGCTTTTCTGTACAATCTGGGGCTTCTTGGCTGCCCTTCTACATGTGAGGAGGGAGGAGTAGGAGGCGACAGACCCTCTGTGACTGTGGACAGGCTGGGTTGGCGGAAGGCTCTGCTTTGGGCGGGGGTGGGGAGGGCATGGGGTGCAGTCGCCCCCCAGCACAGTTCCCTGGGGCACTGCTTCCTGTTGGCAGAAACATGAGGGAACCCTTCCTGGATGGCTGTCTTCTCAGTTCCTCGTTGCTTTTATGCCTGATGGCTTCCTGGGAGGAGACAATAGACATGTACTCAGGCCACCATCTTGAATTAGAACCTACGTTTCTTTTCACGACTTGAAAAGTTGATGCATTCTGTTACGGATTAGGCAGACAAAGCTTACACGCTCTTGTTGCACTATGGTTTTACAGATTCTCCCGCACTGAAAGCACTACAGAATGACTTTCTGGAGTTTGCTAAAGACAAAAACTTCCAGGTGCTGAATTTTGTAGAAACACTACCAACCTGTATCGGCAGCATGATTAAACTCCACGTGGTACCAGTGGAATCGGCAGGTATTTCTTCTTTTGAAACGTCTTGCCCATTATATGCACACCTGGTGGTGCCTGGTGGTTAACTGTAAATGTCAGCTTTTATATCCAGGTTCTCAGTTTTAGGGGGCAGGTTCATGAAGACCTAGATCTGTAATTCTGTTTTCTTTTTAGCTGTAGATTAAACTTGCTCTGCAAACATATAACCTTGGCCTTACCCCTCCTCCCCTTCATTTAACTGACTAGATGATGAAGGTTAATTGGCTAACCCCAAGCTAGCCCTTAACAGTGAACTCTGTTGTTTTAAGGTGAGAATCAAAATCCTTCCATCAGCTAGATTGAAAGGGGCATTTCATTTAATAGACGGATAGCTGCGTGTTGAAACTCTAAAAAGTCAACCAAAAGCAAGGAAGCTTTAGTAAATGGAAGATATATGGGGGGTGGGGTGGGGGTGGGGATATTCAAGCAGCAGAGATTCCAGTGGAGAAAACTAGTGTCAAAGTGCAGCCCCTTCATAATCCTGGGGCTGAGGGAAAGGGCCAGCACCTGCAGGCTCCTTGAGGCTGCGGCCTGAATCTTGACTCTTCCCAGCCTGCTGTAGTACTCTGTGCTTAGCAGATGCCCCATAAATGCCATCACCTGAAATGATTTTCCCCACCTAGCTGCTTGTCAGCTTGGATGTCACCTGTGGAACTCTTTTCTGATCACCTCTGAGACTGGGTAGGTGCTGTCCTTCTAGCACTCAACCCTGCCATGAGCTCCTGGCAGCTGGGGACAAGGTGTATCTGTAGCACCTGTCAGGTGGGTCTTCAGTCTGCAGAGTGAGTTTTGTCCAAACATCATTGTGTATTATCTCAATAAATGAAAAATACTTACTGCTTTGTACTAGAACTTAAAGAAGCTTTACCTCAAAGTAATACGCCATCGTGTGAGGAGTTACTATTGGGTAGTTGAAGAACTTGAGGAGTTCAAAGAACATTTGCCAGATGTTCAGCCAACCACTTTGGAAGGTTGAAGCAAAAGCAAAGTCACAATCAGAGCCTTGTCTTAACTCTGCTTGCCCTCTTCTCCCACAGCTCTAGGAGGCTCTTCTTCCTTTAGAGCAGCTCCTGCTTGCACTCCTCATCTAGCTTGCCTCACTGGTACCTCTTGTTACTCTCGTTGAGGTGGACTTTGCTAGACGGAAACATGAGACACTCTTCCAAGTCTCTCAAACAAGCAAGCACTAAATAACCCTTCCCACCGTGGAGTGATCATGGGTGTTTGGGTATAGGGTAGGTCACACGTGAGACGTTCTCAATCTCTTCATCAACACGAGGGACCTCATCATAAAGATGACAGTATAGACTCTGGACTGTGGTTAAAAAGTGTGGACTGACCTGGGCATAACCTGCAGGTGTGGAGGGTTCTGAAGATGGTGGTGTTCCAGCTCTGCTCCCTGTTAAATTAGGACATAGCCAGGACACATACGAATGAAAAGCATAAAATTATAATTACACGTGCTAGAACCCCCTCTCACATGATTTGTCAAATGTAACTCAACTACAGTCATACCTCAGGTTCCTTCATCTTTTAAAAATCCCTTGTTGTTGTTAGTTGCCGTCAAGTTGATTCCGACTCCTGGGAACCCCAAATGTGCAGAGTAGAATACTCCATAGAGTTTTCAAGGCTGTGACCTTTCTGAAGCAGATCACCAGGCCTTTCTTCTGAGGCATTTCTGGATGGAATCAAACCACCAACCTTTTGGCTAGTAGTTGAGCGCTTAACCATTTGCACCACCGAGGGCCTCTTAAGTGTCCCTTACCACAACCAAATCAACATTTAGAACTACCCATCTAGCTTCTTGCAGTGTTGACAAGGGGGAGAAGCTGATATTTTTACTCAGGTTTTATTAACATTTTTGTTTTCTTCAGATTTAGGCATTGGAGAGCTAATTCCTGTGGATGTCAACCATCTAAACATTTGTAAGCCAAAGACAAAGGATGCTTTTCTGTACCAACGTACCTTACAATTCATCCATGAAACTTTAGCCAAAGACCTTGAAAACTAACCGTTGTCCTAGTCCATTTTTCATGTGTGAACACAATGCAAGAAACTTGGTGTTCTCGTTCTCTTTCTAAGCTCCAGCAACCATGCAAACGTAGTGATTATGACATCCGTGTAGTCTGGAATATGCTGCAGGCAAGAGAACATTGTCCTCAGTCCGGAAACCGGGAAGCATAATCACAGATGGAAGTGGCACCAAAGAGTGAAAGGCCTGGACTCCTTCCACTTGGAAGACATTCCCGTGCGCCACCATTGGTGGTCGCGGTGTGGTGCCTCGTGGCGGGGAGTGGAGCTGCTGTGGACAGAGAAGAACCTCTTCCTGGTGAGCGGCTCCCAGCTCACTCCAGGAGGAGCACAGGCTCTCAGGGAGAGCCGACGTCACCTTCACTTCTCAGTAAAATGCATCTGGAGAGTGCCACACGGAGTGGCGAGAAGACTGAACCAGAACAGAAATGACTGTTTTGTTCTGGGCGTCCGTATGCTGTAAATTGGTCAACACGTGTCCATGTCAATCTTTGTCTAGTGCATTATCACGGTGTCAACTTCATTCTACCTGCCACCATGCACGAATCAGCTCCTTGGGTTTCTCTTCATATTGCTGAGAGCAAAGCTTTTTGTTAACAAAATTCTCGATTATACATGTCCTTTCCAGACTCTAGCTACCTATACTTACAGTTTGTCCCAGATAAAGTTGCTAATCTGGTATTGATCAGAGTATGAAATAAAACTAAGCCATTATGTATATTAATGATACTTAGTGTCAAGATTCTCAGATTTTCTTTAACCAAGTAAAGTGTACCTTTCTTGCTCGCTTGGAGGTGGTAATGACCTCCATCCAACATCTGAGAAGTAGGAAATTATGTTGATGGACTTTTTTTTAAAGTAACAGCTTCATTGAGATATAATTCACACAACATAAAATTCACCCTTTTACAGTTTAATCCAGTGCTCTTTAGTATATCCATAGAGTTGTGCACCCATCACCACCATCTAAGTTCAGAACATTTCCTCATCGCCCAGGGTAGCCCTGTACGGTACCCATTAGCACTCGTTCCTCGTTCCCCCTCCCCAACCCCTGGCAAATACTAACTGCTCTGTCTCCATAGCCTTATCTATTCTGGACATTTCATACACATGGAATCATACAATATATGACGTTTGTGACTGGCTTCTTTCACTTAGTATGTTTTCAGGGTTCATTCATGTAGCCTGTGTCAGCACTTCATTCTTTTTTATTGCTGAATAATATTCCATTGTTTGGCTCTGCCACATCTTGTTTATTCACTCATCTGTTAATGGACATTTGGGTTCTTTCCATCTTTGGGCTATTATGAATAAGGCTGCTATGAACATTCATGTTTTTGTGTGGACAGATGCTTTTAATTCTCTTGAGTATATACTTAGTAGTGGAACTGCTGGGTCATATGGTCACTCTGTTTGGTATTTTGAAGATGATGGGACTTTTGTAGAACAAGATGGTCAAAGCTGAAATTGGAGTACAGCATCTGAAGGTAAACTGGGGTCATCAGTAAACCCTGTCAATGTCTAATTGTTTACTTATGCAACAACACATAACAAGTGAGGTAACCACTTGCTTTACTGTGTAGACACAGGTGATGGTAGCTGACAGCAGCGTGCTAGGTAATGGGATGACATGGTGGACGGGGCAGATAGGTTTGCTACGTTTCCTTTTTCTCTTTGGCATGAACCGTGGCAGATACACCACTGTTGAAACAACTGTTCATTAACTTCAAGTAATGGACTGAAACCCCATTCCTAAAAAACCGAGTACCATCATTATAGCTGTGCTTCGAGAATAAGATCTAGAAGAGAGATCCAGAGTAGCACTAACCTGCCAGAGGAGGTTCTCAGAGAAGTACCTAACATTTGTTCTATCATACATCTATCTACCTATGAAATGGATATGATGCTCCCAGATTGACTTCATCAGTTTTGTGAGATTTAAGTCAATAATATTTTTCTTAAAAGCATTGGCTGAAAAACACTTTAAGAACACAGTGTATGAAAAATACATGAATTGAAAATAGTTTTAAACTTGAACCATAAGTAAAATGGTTCTTCCCTCAGTTCAGTCAGCCTTGTTTAAATATATTTTTTCAGGAGAAATTGCAAGTGAAGGCCCATTTTGCCTTTCGCCTCATGTTAAAAGTCACTTTAAACGATCTTGTTTAAGGGGGAATGAAATAGAGTATACCAGTTACAGATGAGAATGAAAGTCAGTTACCTTTATAACCCTTTCACTTTTTATCAATTTCTCCCAAACCTGCAAGACTGCATTGTTAGCCCTAAAACTTGGGGACACCAAGTCCTCCTTTACCCTGGTTGTTGTTAGGTACCATCAAGTCAGTGCCGACTTACAGCGACCCTGTGTACAACAGAATAAAACACTGCCCAGTCCTGCACCATCCTCATAATCATTGTTACGCTTGAGCCCACTGTTGTAGCCACTGTGTCCATCCATCTCGTTGAAGATCTTCCTCTTTTTCGCTGACACTCTACACCAAGCATGAAGTCCTTCTCCAGGGACTGATCCCTCCTGATAACATGTATGTGAGATGTAGTCGTGCCATCCTTGCTTCTAAGGAGCATTTTGGTTGTACTTCCAAGACAGATTTGTTGATTCTTTTAGCAGTCTGTAGTATATTCAATGTTCTTCAACAACACCACAACTCAAAGACGTCAGTTCTTCTTCAGTCTTCCTTATCCATTGTCTAGCGTTTGCATGCATATGAGGCAACTGAAAACACCATATCTTGGGTCAGGTGCACCTTAGTCTTCAAGGTGACATTTTGCTTTTCAACACTTTAAAGAGGTCTTTTGCAGCAGATTTGCCCAATGCAATGCGTCTTTTGATTTCTTGACTGCTGCTTCCATGGGTGTTGATTGTGGATCCAATTAAAATGAAATCCTTGACAACTTCAGTCTTTTCTTCTGTTATGATGTTGCTTGTTGGTCCAGTTGTGAGGATTTTTGTTTTCTTTTTGTTGACATGTAATCTATACTGAAGGCCGTAGTCTTTAATCTTTATCAGTAAGGGCTTCAAGTCCTCTTCACTTGGAGCAAGCAAGGTTGTGTCATCAGCATAATGCAGGTTGTCAATGAGTCTTCCTCCAATCCTGATGCTCCATTCTTCTTCCACGCATCTGTCAGTTTGTCATACTGTGGGGGCTTGCGTGTTGCTGTGATACTGGAAGCTATGCTACCGGTATGCAAATACCAGCAGAGTCACCCATGGCGAACAGGTTTCAGCTGAGCTTCCAGACTAAGACAGACTAGGAAGAAGGACCCAGCAGTCTACTTCTGACAGGAGTTAGCCAGTGAAAACCTTTGCCCCAGAGTACAAATTAAATGTCATTTAAGAGCAATTGAGACTACAAGATACCTTTCTCTGCACTCAGCCCTGTGCACAGGATACATGCTGGCCAGAGTCCTGGGGGAGGTGGCCACCTCTCTGCCGAACAGGAGTGCCCGAGGCTGGTCTGTGCCAGCACTGAGTTCATTTTGAGAAACAGCAGAGTATTACAATGATAGGATACCTCTTTTGAACTTTGTTCATACTCACAGTGCCCCTCAAATTGTAATTCCTGAAATTTAAGTATGAGGCATACCCTCCTGAATTTGATGTTCAATGTCATTTTAATGTGTAGAACTGAGTGCACCCTTATGGAGGCTATTGAACACTTACCAAATGGTAATCACTTAAAATACTAGAACTTTGCTTTAGAAAAAAGCAGTGTTTTGTTATAAATAAGGCAGAAGGCATAAAAAGGTAGTTTAATGTCCAAGAAATGTTCAAATTTAGAACCAGTCATTCTTGTAAAAATTCCAGTTCTTAATCTGCCTTTGGCTTGACCTTGGAGTTTAGAAACAGTGTCAGGAGTTTCACACCTGGGCCCACAGTTTGGAAAAACTAAGCTTACTAGAACCTTAGAGTTTTAGTTTAATCAAAACCGTATCTCAAGTGTCTTAATGCTAATTGATAAAGCAGAATATATGTGGTTTCCAGGACACTTGAAGTGTCCTGATGGGAACAATCTCTAGGCACAAGAGGCATTCATCACATCTGCTGTCATTTAGATTTCAGAGTATTTTGATATCTGAGATTAAAACAGATGTTTTAGTTTGAAAAACTAAAACATTACGAAAAGCCCACAAGAATTTCATAATGCTTAGTCTTCCCATCTCTAAAATATGGATAATGCTAGCTCATAGCCTTAAATTTAAAGCACCACCTGGTACATAGTGCTTCACTGAATGACAGTTCTATTATTTGCATGAGGAAGCAATTAGGAGGTGGTTATAATCAGGGCTTTGAACCGGCTCATGCCGGTTTGAACCCCTGCTGGAAATTTGCATTCCACCCCAGATATACTGAATCAGAATCTACAGTTTAACAAGATCCCCAAGTGATTCTTATGTATAATGAATTTTGACAACCACTGCTGTACTAGTGGGTTTCAGAATTGGTCCCTAACGAACCAGCAGCATTAGCACCACCTGGGAATTTGTTAGAAATGCAAATTCTCAGCAGGGGTTCAAGCCCTGATTATAATCCAGGCAACATGTGAGTGTGAATTAAGACTATGGCAGTGGAAATGGAAAAGGATTCAGAAGCACCTGGTGGTTCATCATATGTGGGGAAGAGAAGTCAAAAAACTGAAAGGTGGCCTGCTCGAATGATGAATTCTAATTAATTACCTGAAATAGAGACAGAGAATGGATTTAATTGAGGGTAAACCAAGCATGAAATTCTTACAGGCTTTCAACGTTTTAAACATCTGTTTGAATGTGATAATCCTAGATATCAAAATACTCTGAAATCTAACCGATAGAAGCAGATGTGACAGACACCCTTTGTGCCAGGAGACAGAGTTCCCTCACTCTCCATTAAGCCCAAGAACCTGTGCCTATTTGGTTTTCTTCATCCATTAGGTTGAACACTCTTGAGGTACAGGCCAATCTCACTTATGAACGTTGTTGCAAAAACCCTAAACAGAAATACTGACACACTTAAATCCAGCGATATAAAAAAGGATAATATCATCTGTCCAGGTTGAATTTATACCTAGAGTGCACAGTTTGTTTAGCATTGGGAAATTAAGTCACCATATTAACAAACAAAAGGAGAAAAGAAATGATCATTTCAGTACATGGATAAAATTATCTTTGAGGAAATTCAACAAACCACTCATGAAAAAGATAAATTTGGTAATCCAGGAGGAGAATTTCCTTACTCTTCTCTAGTAAAGGGTCTCTAAAAACCAAAAAACAGTAAAAACATCTAGAAAATACTTAATGCAAAGGGAGGCAGTAAAGGAGAAACAGGAACAAAAAAGGCATGAAACACAAAAAAGCCGAGAAAGAGACCCACACAAATATGGGCCCTTGATTTGCGACAAAGGTGATCTGTTGAGAGCAGTGAAGAAAGGCTCATTTAATACATGGTACTTGGCCAGTTGGGTACCCACAACGAATCTGGAAAAAGATGAATCTGGTTTCGCTCAACCAGGTACAAAAATCTCTCTAGGTGGATTACAGACTGAAATGTGAAGGGCTAAACTCTAAAGGTTTTAGAAGATTAATACAGGAGACTATAACCCTATAAGGAGATATTTGTAAAATAAGTTACAAAAAGCACTAACCATAAAATAAATGGTTCAAATCAGACAACATTAAGGACTTCTTTTCATCAAAAGACCCAATAAAGAAAGCGAAAAGAAAAGCCACAGAATGAGAAGACATTTGTAACACAGTATAACAGAGAGGACTCATCCAGAATACATAAAGAACCCCTACAATTCAGTGAGATACAATCCAACAGAAAAATGGGTAAAACACTTTGACAACATGCCAATCTGAGACATGGTAAATCTGCATACTACTTACGGGTGGTCCCTAGTTTCTAGATAGCCAAGAAGCCATAAGAAAAAGGGAACTAATAACTAATATGGATTGCTCCATAAACATCACGTTCTTCCAGTCAGAGCCTGAACACACATTAGCACATGGAAAGTAGCTTTTATTACTTAGAATAAGAAGCAGATAGTATACAATTGATGAGCAGTCCCTCTTGGCTCAAAA